CATGTATATTTTCTACTTTCTTGTTNTTGGTATCTGGCTGCGTGCGAACGATAAACAAATCTACAAAAGTACAGTTGCACTGTACGTAAAAAAGAAAGAAATAGTATAGATAATAAAAATACTTATTTAAGAAACTATTTTGCATGGATGCTAAAGGACAAGTTTTACACAACATTTCAATGTAACTTTACCAATAACTTAAAAGCTAAAAAACAAAAACACTGAATGAAGAAACATCCTCAGAAAGCTGAGCGCACAAAAAACAACAAATCCTTTGCTTGGGTAAGAATTGAAAAGGTTTTATGTCACTAACGAGAAGCATTTAGCACCGTGAAGTGATTACAGCCAACCTTTAAACTGTCCTCTTGCCTTAAATCTAATATTTGCTCATGGAAGCGTGCTGGCTGGGAGATCCTGATATTTGTCGATCGGTCTCTATTACGCTGATAGCAATGTTTGAATTCACAGTTTGTTTGAGTAATCTGCCCCTCATAGGTTATTTTAGATCAAGCCATACATCTGACTAGCACATGGTGATAACTAGAATAACAACACCTCCAAGTTACCTTTTTTTCAAAGTAGTTGAACGAGGTATCTTGTTGGAAGTTGTGGATTCACTGATATTTTACGTTAAGATTTTGGATTAAGGACAGTGCAGCCTTTATAACAACCCGGCTACACAGATGAACAGAATGGTTCATATTCAGCTTTTTATATAAAAACCTCTGTGTTTTGTTTTGCGTGCCGTATGAAGGGTCACAGCACTATGTGGACTTTGGTCCTTTGTCCACATAGTGTCCTTAGTCTGGCAGAAAGGCGCTGGGCAAAGTCTCCTCGCAGCGTTTCATAAGAAGAACTCCCTGTGCTTTTTACTATACTAATAATATGTAGGTTTTATTTGTAGAGTGCTTTTTAGGGTACTCAAAGACACTCAGTTTACCCGCTCAAACTCTTTAAACCAACATTAAAATAACACTCGTAAAATAAATAAAGCAAAACATTAATAACAAACTAAAAGCAGGTCTGTAGAGGTGAGTATTGAAGAGTTGTGATTTAAATAAAGACGGATGTGTTAGCCAGTGATTTCCAAGTCAGGCGTACTCTTGGTCCAAAAAAATATGATTTAGTTGCTGCAAATAAAATCCATCAGTGCCGTGGTCTCAAGCTAGTTTAAACCACAGGGCCAATGATGCATTACTGAGACCCTCACAATTGAATCCTTCGAGCTTAAAGTTATTCTGGTCTTTTCATTTCAGCAGTCCTTCAAATCTATTCCCAGTGTCAGGATGTCAGATGAGTTTTATAATCACTTAAGCTGCTTGGCTGTCCCTCAGAAACACTTTGGAGCGAAGCATTGTCTTATGGAGTCTTCTCCTTTTTCTTAAGACCCTCTGGATGGACTCTCTAAGATATGTTCTCACTTGTCCCATTTAAGAAACTCCCTCTGGGATGGATCAGTGCTGAGTCAGAGACAGAGATTAGAGCTACAGTAGAGATCGCTCAGATTTCAAATCACACATATTACGTTTCTGATTTTCTATGCATCTTCTGTACGGACTCTATGAAGTCCTTGCTAACCCTTTTGGTCAGAGAAAAACAAATCTTTAATTGATTACCTTACAATTGTAAGAACTAGTGGAATGAAATAAAGTATATTTTCTTAAAGGTGGGGTAGGTAATTTTGGAGAAACCAGCTCGAGTGCGCTAGAATTTGAAAATACACAACCGGAAAAAACCTACCACTTCCTCACAGAGCCCCTCCTCCAACACACACGAACGCGCACATGACCAATGAGGGCACGAGATGAGTTTGTGCAAAGATGGAAGGCTGACAGGCAGGTAGGCCATCCAGTTACTTTAGCCGGCTCAGATGATTGGTCGTGCTTTTTACAGTACCACGGCTGTCGAAGCACTTAAGATATTCATTGCTATCGGGATGTTAAGAGCATTCCATGGAATATAACAACAAGTGTATCTCGAGCCGGTTTCTCAAACGTACCTACCCCACCTTTAAAAAAAGACATACTTGTACTTCTCCAGTATTTCCCTCTCCTGTGGTGTGTTCTGTAGGTTTTAGTGTATGTAAATTAGGGCTGCACGATATATCGTGTCGTGACGATAATCGCGTTATGCACATGCGCGATATTGACATCGCAGGACGTTTTTATTTTATTTAAATGTCCTTTTATTTTAGGACGTGCGATATTAAGTAGGCAAATTAACTCAAAAACGTCATGTTACAATTATTTTGCTGCTTGCTACAAAAGGAAAACTCGCGCAGCACTCATGTCGGGGTACTTGAGTGAGTGACAGCAAACCACCAATCACAATCATTCTTGATCAGATCACAGTAACCGAGCTAGCTCAGCTTGTTGCTCTGATAACTTAAGATCCAGAAGTCCGTGACTAAAATCCTTCATCCGGTTAAATATTGTTAAATAAATACCAATTGTATAGCATTAAAGTTCAAGAAAGGATGGTTTGTGGACAAAGAAAACTGTCTTTTCTTCAATTCCTGTATTTTTTCATATCGCAATATATCTCGCAGGGGAAGAAAATATCGCAATGTCAGTTTTTTCCAATATCGTGCAGCCCTAATCACGTCACACTTTAAATCAGATTTAGAAGTTGATTGTTGAGATCAGGAGGATAAGTATACTATAGGCTTCAAAGCAGGAGTTACTTACTTTATTTAGACCAAGTTGTTTAGGTAAAAAGTTATGTTTTTGAAAAGCCTTATTTATTTGGAGTGTTTCTCTATCATTTTCCTTCTCTTGTAGCTCTGTTTTTGGTCTCAACAGTTAAATACCGTACCCTTTAGCTTCTAAATGCTTCTTTACCTTCAGCAGTCTCCTTCAGTGGCTGCTGAGCAGGAAGTGCACAGTGGGTTTAGGGTGTTTGATTTAAGTGTCACAATTGAATAATGGTTTATTGGTTGTAAATGCTACCTGTTGAGATCTTTGACCGTAAATGCTGCAGTGGAAAAATCCCAAAAGCTTTCCTTTTATGGCACATTTGCGTTTCAATTGATTAGTTATTATGAAACAACCCCACATCCACTGCGAACACACAGATATCCAGTAAAAGCTATTGAATGCATGTGACTCCCATGTCTAATCAGCCAACAGTTTAGCTTTATTCTTTTGAGTAACACTATCTTATGATCATCGTCACTCCTGTAAAACATTTGTTTTGTTTCCCTCAGTTCCAGCCCGGGCTGAGTCACGGTCAACGGTTAAACCTGCGATGAGGTTTGACTCACGGCTGGAAGGAAACTTTACAGCAGGTAATAAAAGCATTCGACACCGAACGCAACAAGAACTGGAGACAGTTTTATGGCCAAGTTTGTTTGCCGTCTTGCCTCTAATCCTTTTTGGCTGAAGTTCGACGCGAGTGACGACGGTGATTAAATAAACACGTACAGAGAATTCACTTAAAAGGTACAAGAAGTATTAAGGGGGATTTCCAAGTGTGCGCTGCAGGATACAAAGTGTACCAGACTGACCCTCAGCAAAAGAGACCGTCTGTTTTATCCATTCGATTATGTAAAGCAAAAGGAATGGATTTACCTTCAGTTGAAATCTTAAAACCACCTGAAACTGAGTCAGTGTAATGGCATCCGAGACACTGTGTCCAGCAGAGAGTGTGTCATAAGGGACAAAAGAGTCAGAAGTACAACTGACATCAGTCTATGAGAAGATTAGTTTAATAGGCTTTGGAGACTCAAGTGCAATGACGTGACCATCTCTGGCAACGGCATCACAATCTTCCCATCTGAGGTCAATCTCTTCCCCAAACATCTGCCGTCTGGCTTCAGTTTTCTCATTACCGGAGGGTCGGCACGAGTAGTGGAAATAGTGATTAGCAGAGAGTCAGTGTGGTGCAGCGCTGCTGGTGGATATCATTCAAAGTGATATCATTCACAGGGCTCACGAAACGACACGTTGAGGCCTCTCATGAACTGACTGATGTTGGAAAAGGTGAACAGGTTCTGGGTCTTATCTCTTCCTGCCGTTGGAATGAGTAAAAGGTTGTCGGCCTTTAGCCTAACAGGCACAAAGGGAACCCTCCCGACTCCTCAATGTCTGTTTGAAGCCCCTCTCGCCCCCTTTCCTCTTCCTCATCCTCTCCACAATGAGACTCAGCGGTGCATTTCCCCACTTTCATTACCTTAGCCAGACTCCCAGTGCTTTATATAGATATGTAAACAGAGGGCTTTACAGGTTGAGTAACACTATTTATGGTGGCTGTATTGTGTTGGTGTGTCTATAAACAGACAACATTTCTAAAAAGAATCTACAATTGACCGTTAGCTAAACGCTTCTAATGCCATTGGGATTCTATCCAGTAAGAACTATATTGAAATCTGACAAGTTCACAGGGTTTTGTTTTCTATTCCGAGACCAAAAACACATCAAGTAAAAAAGTATTAGTATTAATTATGGATTATAAAGTACAGTAGTTTGCTGATGTTAAATATTTTTTAAAGTCTGCAAAGTTTGCATTAGAAATTATCAAAAGCTACCGATTAAACATGTAAGAAATTTTTTTCAGATGATGAAAGAGGTAGATGCCTCACTTTGTACAGGTGTATCAAAAGTAACTATGAAGGCAAAAGGCAAAAGTAAGTGTACAGCTTACTTAATACTCCACCAAAATCTGTTGAGTAGGAACAACTGCTTGCCTCGCTGTAGGCTTGAAAGTTGGCTCTGGTTTAGAAAATTGCTAGTAAAAGAAGAGCTGCCCAGCTTGCACTTACACTGTTACAATAAATCCAAGAAGAAACCCAGACTCCCAGCCACAAAAACAGTCCTGACTGTAGTGACAACATGTTCAGAGAACTCATAGTTCCCCATGTGTCACACTCCTAGGCAAATGAGTACACACACAATATGTGAAGAAAACAGAAGACAATGGCCATTTGTGCCCTGATTAATTCTCACATGAGCCTTCCAGAGGTCTTTCATGGTTCCCTTTAGATTTCTAAGCAGTCTCTCAGGTCAGCAGGCCGGCACAGAGCTGGGTTTACAGCTTGGCATGTCCTTCACAACACGCCCACCTTTTTCTGTTTGGGCCGGCACCAAATAAACAACTGTGGGGGAGGACAGCCATAATCACCACAGAGCCCAGAGTTAAAGTCTGTGAAAGAAAGAGGAGGTTCAGCCAGCATGATCTCATGGCCTCCTCCCTTTCATAACTCACCACACTGAGTCAAAGTGGCATGAGATTTGGCCTTAAACACACAACCATGGATACACACCCTTCTCACACAAACTGAGATACGCTTGCGCAGTCAACACCTTTTTCAGGCCTATGAATAATCGGAATATATGCAGCTGACTGTATAGAGTAAATATTTTGGTGGCAGTTGCTCCTGTGACAGCTCCGAGGGTGGAAACAAGCCACCGTGTGCTTTAAACTTCTGTCCGCTCGGGTAAAGTTCACATAAGGCTCCACAAAAATCAAACACATCATTCTCGTGGTGGGAGCTGTGGCGCTCGTAATGACTGTGTTGAGCTGAAAGTAGAGCTTTTCATTTACCTTGATGAACGCTGGACGCCACAGGAATGAAGAGAAACAATTAGAGGCCAGACAAACCTTAGCTTTCAGATGACTGTAAGATCAGTTCAGAGAGGGGCAAGTCTCAAAATGATTCTTACTTTGCTCTTTGCTATTGTTTAACCTACTGGATCTACATTTATAAAGTGTATTGTCACTTGAATTAAAATATAATTCCAAAAGGGGCATTTTAAGATCAGCTACAGACATTTTAAGGGCCTTTTTTTGGCTGCATCATCGTTTGCACAATATATTTTCTAAATCGGACTTTGAGATCAAGCAGATACGGTTGCATGTGATGCGTCTTTGCAATGCACATATGAAATGGCCCGTCACTGTGCAAAACGCATGCACATCTTTGAGTAAGAAGGTCAGATGGCAACAGCAATAGGTAACCGATATTTTTAGATACGGGAACATAATCAAGAGTGGGTTTTTGAAGCTCTTCATCCGTACAACAAACAGTTCTGATTAAGTGTAATGACCACCTGAGTCTGTTTGACACCTTTAAAAATACAGGTCATGTGCTCACCTGCGATCCCCTGCAGCAGTCCACACACGTTGAAGATGCTCTTCTTCATGATGCTCTGGAAGCACATGGTGAAGACTGAGATGAAGGCCACGGCACACAGCAGCAGGATCCCTGCAGCCAGGAAGATAGAAGTAGCCTGCCAGAACCCGCTGGCAATCTCCCCAAAGTGTATGGCGTACGGTCCGCACAGTATTCCACGCTTCAGGTGGGACAGTTTTATACAGCGGCCGTAGATGCCTAAAGTGGGCCTGTAGGCTTCTCCAGCTGTGGTGGCCCCATGGGGGCCGTAGACCGCATCGGGGGTTCGGGGGAATCCCACCAGCCAGTCAGTGCTCATGAAGGCGATGAGCTCTCCGAACGCGGCCACAATACTCAGCAGAGTCCACAGCATGGAGCGGCAGGTGACGATGACATGGCACATGCTGACGGCTGGAGTCTCCCTCTGTTCAGACTACAACTCAGCAGAGAGGTGGAAGGGAGGAGCGAGAGGCGCTCAAAGACGAGAGCTGAGGTTGTGATCCTTTTCCGGTGAAGATCTGAGTGTGAGTGAACACTTCACAGGAAGGAGTCGGTGACACCGCTGCACACAAAAGGTCCAAGTCAATGATTCACAGTCTGCTGCTTCCCTCTCTTTCTCTTCTTATCTTCTGCTTCGACACAGCTGTTATTCCTCCTCCTTGAACTCACCCTCCTTCTGTTGGCTCGGTGTTCAGACTCTTATTCTGTCTGCTTTTTGGTGTCTACATTGTATTGAAGTTGTGTTCCCTGAGCCAGCCTGCTGGCGTCACATCAGACACACCTAAGAGATGAAACAGAGAGGCAGAACAGTGAGTTATTTAATTGCATGTATAAAATGTAATTGCATGTACAAAGGAAACTCAGTAAATGTTGTTTTATTTGAGGAAGTGCAGATCTCCTGTTTCTCCCCTGTCTTATGTGGAAAAGCAGAAAGAGGAGAGTGTGGAGGAGGAGGGGAGCCTCTGGTGTAGATCATCAGTTTAATGAGTTGTGTGGGTATGTGTTCATTTGAAGTGGGCCTCTTCTGTTTTCACTGTGTTTATGTTAAAGGATTTGTGATCAGGGCACTTGTCTTGTTCTCTGCTCCCAGCAGATCATCATGACCGAGGCTGTAAAGATGAAAACTAGAAAAACATTATGCCTGTCGTAGAGGGGGAGGGTTAAAATAGACGTGGAAGCAGCGGGATGAGAAGCGGATGCAGACAGAGAGAAAAACAACCCGAGGCCTCTCATCAAGCAGCCCACACAGCTGACCCGGGGTCAGTCAACAGTAGATAACACAGCGGCCGCCCGGCTGTCACATGACGGGTGATAACCTCAGCGACATCAAACTGGCTGCTGTGCTGAGTCAGGGACATTACAGCACAATGAGGGAGCTGAGTGTCGCTTCATTGAAAGTCCACATCGTCCACCATGAACAGACACACTAAGCAGCCACATTTGAGACATAATTAATACATATTACTACATGTAAAACATTAAAAACAATAGTACAAGAATCATTTGCTGTCTATTTACTCCATGTATGAGCTTTTTGTTTGATTAAGTTAATCTACCAGCACATTGCATTATAAAACAGTTTACTAGAACCTTCACCAGAAAAAGTTTTGCATTATAAAACTTACTTTTTCCAGTAAAATGAAACAAAAATAAAGACCCTTTTCATCGTCCCCATCTAATGCCCTTAGGATTTCTGTTAGATCTCAAGAGATAAAAACTTTTTCTATTAGAGTTATATTTAAAAGATGGAGATTTGATCTATGATACGCATAAAATAATATGAGCAGAACATGCACTCCAACACAGAAGTTGGAGAGCCTTATACAGGCCTTTGTGCTCATGTTATAAATAAAGGTCTAAGCGTGAGCTGACAGTTGTTCCTTTTCTTTCTTTTCTCTGCCGCCTCTTGGGAGTCTGTTAGTCATTCTCCAGCAGGGTTTGGCAAAGAGATCCGGGGGCCGCTGTTGACACGTGTGCCGCCCGCACTGCGAGGTTTCCATCACTCAGACCCCCACATTGTCCGCCCTTACTGCGAGGGTCACGGGACCCACGGTCGTCCCTTGTGGTCACATCCCAGCAAGTGTGTGAGTAAGAGCATTACACAAACTTTGATCTTTGTCATCCTGTAGAGATGTCAACAACGGTTCCCTTTATTTCCAGGCCTTTTTTCTTCTCCAGTGGAGAAAATGACACAGCTCTGCGGTTTCTTACAGTTCAGGGTGTGTGTGTGTGTGTGTGTGTGTGTGTGTGTGTGTGTGTGTGTGTGTGTGTGTGTGTGTGTGTGTGTGTGTGTGAGCTAACGTCAACTGTGTTTGGATTGTGTAAAAACAGATGAGATCATAAGAACAGGCACAGACAGCCGCCTTTACAGATTTTCAACAAAATCAGTTTTAAAAAATGTGTTGCCTCACTATGAACAGATGCAGTAACAGATACCGCCTCACAATCACTAGCTGGACTTTTTTCAAACTCTTCCCACTCACACACTCTTTCCCGTTGACATCTAAGTCCCAGAGGTCCTTTGACGTGACTCATGTTTGACGTTCGGATTTAAGACAAACGGGCAGTCGTTAGTTTGAGGGTCAAACATTTGCTGGCCAGTTGCAAATACTAAATCCTTACTGACATAAATATTGTTTGAAAACACTTTGGAGCTAAAACAATTTGAACCAGCTGGGGATATATGGACATTTGAAGACCTGGACACTTAACCTTTGACATTTCCTGGCAGTTACATAGTACCCACTAGTGGCTTTCAATTTGTCTAAAGCTGTCATTGCATGTGGGTAAGTAGATCTAAAACAAGTCTGGTTCTATTAATGTACCTTGCATTTGTCACTACAAACGCCCAGACGTCTGCTCACTGTTCCCAGACAGATTCGAGCGGTTATCATGAACAGAAGTTTCCCAAGATAGAATGAAGCCTGGTAGAAACGAGGAGGATTTATGATGTCCTTTATACTCCCCGAGTAACCAGGGGGGAGACCTAGGATTATTTGAGGCTCGGTTTACATACACAGAAGAGTTTACAAGCTTCAGTCTGCACCCAGAACCCCGGTGACCCCCAACACTAATCCCCCATGCCCGCACACACTTACAAGACTCCCTGCCATCTGAAACATGCTCCCCAAAGAGTGAGAAGGAAGGAAACTTCTCCACAGTGAGACCTCAATAAAACAAATTCATGTTTAACTTAAATGGTTCGTTAAAGATGCCAGATTGGTCCCAGAGGAACAACTTTAACACCAACATGAACAAAAGGCTTTGTCAAGAAGCTAACATGCTCAAAATGTACCTTTCACAAAGTAGAACTGAGGCTCGTTGGAATATCATTAGTTGTAGGTATTTGGTCATAAACCAAAGTATTCAAATTTCATAAGTTGGGTCTCCTGAATAGTGAGGGGATCATCAAAGTTATTACGATTCATCCCGAGGGCGGAATGAATGTCTGTTCCAAATTTCACAACAAACAATCCAATATTTGTGGAGACTATTGGGATTAAAACCTCATGAAGAAGCTGTAGGACAAGTCAGAAGATCACCAAAGTTGGAAGGGTTTATCCTATGGAAACTACAAATATCTGCACCAAATGTCCTTGTAATCTATCCAATCATTGTAAAGACATATCATTTAAAAGGCAAAACCTCATTGGGGCAATAAGAAGGTCTGCGGAATAATGTCTTCACAAAATGTCATTCTGTCCGTCAAATATGTCTTGAGATATTTTGAAACTGGACTGTGTTGGATCAGACAGCAATTCAGTGGACATTGTTATCCTTACAGCCATGCTGCTTCTCCACCTCCGTTTCAAAGTGTCCACTCAGCCTTTCTCTTATCACAGCAACAAAAAAGGCAGGACACGTCTTTCCACACTGCCACTGACCGGAAACAATCTACATATCTATGGACATGCCACGACTGGAGTGACGCGTCACCATGGAGAGTGTTTGTTTAGAGCTGGATGAGGGGTTAAGGGAACGTTTATGTAGGGTCTACATACTGAGAGGAGAGAGCTCTTCAGCTAAGGTTCAGCAACCTGTTGCAATCAAAAGGATCTACAACTCAATCGGTTAAATATTATCCAAGGACAAACTCAGAAGTATGCAGCTTTGATTTTCTTGCAAGTCCAGCCCATGACTCTCTTGCATGATGTGACCCAACGGCAAAGCAATTTTAAAACAAAGGAAGCGCTTATAATCTGTGAGGATCTGTTTGAATGAGAAGCCCCTGCAGCTACTGAAAGGGAATGCAGGGGATGATTGGTCACAGAGGACCTCAAATACTAGTCCGGTCACACTTTCTTTACAATTAATGGCTCTGTTTGAAGATATAAGTGAAATACAGCAAGGCAGCATTTCTTACTTTAGGCATCAGTCATTTCTTAGCTCTTGAGTGGAAGTGTTGCGAGACAAAGAAAGTATATTATTTCAGGAAAATTGCAGCCAATAACAAAAGGAGACCATAGTCAGGGTTTCCACTGCTAAGGAGCCAGCTTTTCATAACACTTCTGCACATCTGCTCAGCATCCAGGCGCCTGTGATTGAAACCTAAACTATAATATTTACATACCATCACATCAGCCACGAGTCCTAATGACAGTAAGATCGAATAATTGACTGAAGTTGTCACCTCTCAGTTTGTTAAAGGACCAAACTAAAGCAGGATAATTAAGGAAATCAGACAAACCTGTCTCCATTGGTCTGTGAGTCCAGCTCTTCTGGAGATGCAGCGTCTCTGCCCTGACTCTCCTCCTCTGCTCACACACTTTAATGCCTTACTCTCTCTCTCAGACTCTAGACTCCCAGACCCTCCCCACGTCCCTCCTCCCACCTCTGCTCTCATTGGCTGCGCCCAATACCGGTGCCACACTTCTTGAGAGGGTCCACATGGTGGCCATATTTCATTGCTGAATCTGGGTTAAAATAACACGAGCTGTGGATGCAGAGGGTCTCTCCTCTTTCTCTCTCTGTCTCGGTTTCTCTCACCTTCGTGCTTTGTTTTCATTGCTCTCTGCACATATTCAATCAGCCTAGACCAACCTCCTATTATCAGCCTAAATGAGAAGTACATTTCCACTTCCTCTACAAAAAAAACTCAAGTGCACTTGGGTTAATTCTGCAAATATGTACACCGTTTGTCACTTTCTGGGTGGACTAGTTTTATCATTTTCAGACTTAATTGGCCAACATTTTAGTTTATAAAAGTGTATTTAAAAGTAGATTAAACACACTTCATACCACAGAACTCCTTCACAGTTGTGTGTCATTTAGTATACTTTAAATGCATACTATTGCTATTTCGTGCATTACCTTAAAATGTGTTTAGAAGTATGCTATGGCAATAGTGGTTTGTATTATTTGTTGAAGTACTGAATTTGTAGGTACTTTACTTAGTTAGCTGTGATCTCGAATAAAATCTTCTACTTTAACTCTAATACATTTATTTGAAATGCTTTCAACTTAAAACAGCACCAACCTGTCACTCAAAAGGCAGCTAAAAATGGTAACTTTAAGCCTTAACTTAAAAATAAAACGGTAAGTCACATAACAAAACTCCCCCATGAACATGTTGTGCCAAACAGTAAACATGTTTGTTGTAAAGTTATAAATTTTATTGATTCTGACTCCTCTTTTGAAGCAGCCTCAAATCGCCATTGCATTAGCTGCGGTTTTTGGCACTTTTGCAGAGAATTCACTTCTTTATAGCCTACACTATAGAAATATTTTTACTACCTATAGTGTGCATAAAGAAAACACATACGTACATGGCAAGAGTTTGAACAAGTGAAAAAAAGTGAGCCTACAACTTCCCCACAAGTTGATGAAAATTCCACTTATAGTAAGTGCAATAACAACATAGGCTACATCTGGTCCATTCTTCTTCAGTTGACAACAAGTATATGACAGATTAGATAGCTGCCTGGATGACCAGTTATCTGACTGATAGGGCGGATGGTTCACTGTCTGAATAATGGATCACACTCTGGCTGATGGGAGCATAGTGTCCCAGGATTGCTTACAGCAGCACTGGGGTGCGTTTAGCCAACACTGCAGTCAGCTACAGTGTTCGTCTGACTTTTGTATTCCCTCACACAGGGGAGACAAATGAGTTCCATATGAGGACGGAAAAAGAGGCCGGCTCAAGCAGGAAGGGAAGCTGATAGGCCGAATCACTTGAAGGCAGCGTGGAAAGCCTGCGGAAGAAGTCTTTCTTATCAGTTTGAATGGAAGTTCAAGACAAAACAGTCGGAAAACAGTTCCTTTCAACCCAGATGCATATTCTAAACCTAATTAAAACTCTCCTTTGACCCATTTCCAATAAATCCTGGTGACCTATCCTCACACAGTTGTGAATTGGATGGGAAGAGTTAATGGTCCATTTTAAAAGCCACACAAAGTCTCCACTAAATTTATGTCTAAACTATCATTAAAAAGCCTTTTCACAGGATTCCAAAATTCCACTTGGATACCTTTGTCACGGTACCTTTCTTGCATAGCACAAGTAGTTTACAACTCGAAATTCACAATATTTTTTAAGTAGACCTCCCCATTAAAGCTAGCAACTGTTGATTTGGCCAAACTGTTAGTAACAGATTTTATTCAGGTGGAGCTAGCTAGCCAATCAAGCTAACGTTAGCTGAATGAGCTCTTTGATTAACTCTTCAATGTTTCCCACTGACTCGTTTAAAAAGTCAGCAGATAGATAGTCTATTAATCTACATATAGTATACATACAATTAAAATGTTGTTACTTTAATCAATGAAGACCTCCCACAAATCTTTATATTATAGGAAGAAGTGATCTTCATTGTCGGAAAGTATGTCAACCCAGGGTCGGCGTCATGTGGGGTCATTCGCGGGCCATGCCTCCCCAATTGAGTCACTGTGCCCCCCAACGCAGGACGGGCAAGCCTTGCCACTTTGCTGTTTTATTTTTTATTATATAAGTGAAAATGTTTCCACTAAATGTTTTTTGTGTGAAATAAATGAGAAATAAAGAATACAAATATAAAACACAGCCTGAGGTTTGCTCACTGCTGCTCTCTGATTGGTGTGTTGCTTGACCAATGACCCCCGACTTTTGTTTTGTTATCATTACGTGGCTGTGTGTTTAAGCCCAGTGGCGATCTGTTCATCTGTTACCAGGGCCGTCCCTCCCTACAGGCCGATCATGCAGACTGCGTGGGGCCTCACCTCGCGGAGGGTGCCTCAACTGAGCTGAAAATGCGGCGCACCTATGCGCTTATGCGGCGCAATTAGTGTGGCGCTCGCGAAACAGAGGGCCTCATCATATAACTTTGCGTGGGGCCTCATGTTGGCCAGGGACGGCCCTGCCTGTTATACTGATTATACAGTAAAGCCATCGAAAATAATATGATATACAGTACAGTACAAGTACTTCTAGGTCTCGGTGTTTCATTCAAGCTCGGCTCTGTGTGTGTGTGGCACGAGCGCATTTTGTGAGTGCGTGAGCGGTAACGTGGAATGTTGTTGTTAGCATCTTATTAGCTGGCTTTGCTAACGGATATAAAGAGCTGTTTCTACACTTTCTGCACTAACGTGGCTAACGTGGCTAAGGCGGCTAACGCAGCTGCTCTGTAAACTTTCCTTTAACAAATCCAATGAAGAGCAGAGCTGCTTACTTTAACCTTAATTCAATAGGCTACCATCCAGGACCATGAACCTTCTATTTTGACGTGACCTGCAGCTCCTCTGCCTTGGAGACCACTAATTATCATTACTGTAAATCCTTAACTGGTTAGCAGTAATTCGTATCTTATGTTCAAGCTGATAAACAGTTGAAACCTTTGCCATTTTGTTTGCTCTTCTGGTTTCGGAAAGTTGGTTTAACTAAAAGAAAAAAAGACACTTCCAAAGAATCCAAAGCTGAACAAGCTTAGTTGCAGATGGGACAACCACAGTTGGAGGAAGATGTTTAGCAAACAGTAAATTGCTTCTCAAATATCTTAACAATGCTTCCTGTTTATATTTTTAGTCATTTCAGAAGTCGACCTGCCTGTGAGCGGACCTCGGCTCGTCCCCAGATAACATGTTGTTGATTTGGAGATGCAGATCAGACAGGCTAATGGAAAGTCGGCGTTGCTGCACAAAGATGCTCCGGGAGATTTCCCTTGGCAGCATGGAGGAACTCGGACACATCGCAGGCCCTCACATCAAAGAGCAGAGGATCAGAGGAGACAGCGGAGAAAGATCCTCCTCAGCACATCCACACATATGTATGTTTACACGCCAGGCTACATCATCCGTCATATAGATTCGACAGAGCACTCGTGGAGTCTGGCTGGTAATTAATCTTACCCTGTCAGACTCTGATCAATAGTATCTCGTAGATCTAAAGAAAGTGGAACAAAGCCGGCTGAAAACTTTCAGATAACAAGTCAGGGAAACGAAAATCATCTGACAATTTAGCTAAGATATGGATGACAGTGTTTTATGGAGTGGCATTAACATGAACATTGTTTCACAATATTTTCGTACTTGCAACACACCATTTAAAGTAAACCGTACAATGACATAATCCAGTTCAAATAAGGCATTATTAATTTACTTCACATTAAGTTTGCAAATAACAATCCCAGTTTCCAGAATTGTCCAGATAACATCTTCAAATGTGGTTATGTCGGTCTAACAGTCAAAAACCCAAAGATATCCAGTTATATAACAAAGAGATCAGCTGCAAGTTCTCATATTATAAACACTTATTTTATGACTTTTTGCTTGTACATTTTTTTTGTTTAATTCATTAACAGAGCAATTCATTGACTAATCATTTGCAGCTCTACTTCACATAGAATGTTGTTGTATTTAAGCTTTTCAACACTCTTTACTGGTTTGAAGAGGGCAGGGCTTTGCTGGAAAAAGGTGATCAAAACTTAATGCACTAATAATGACATTTTATCTAAATAAATGTGTCGGTGTAGTTCAGACTCAAACCAAGTTTCCAGCTGCTTCAAGATCTGTTCCATGCTGTTTCTGTATTGCCGTATCATATTATATTTTACCACAGAGCAAAGCAGCAAGCTCCAAAGATCTTTACAGATGTCACTACTTACAGATTGTTATTTATACATGGGGTAAGTTTGAAAACTGTACAGTACAGACAGCATATGTCAGGACACCATCCTTTCTGTAGATTTCATGTGATACCATAAAACATAGTTATGAACATTACAACAACAAAAAGTGTTCTTAAGTCTATAAACCTGAAAGCTGGATATTCAAGCTCAACAAGAAAGTGATGTCATACGACAGAAACCAAATGTTTGGCTTGTGTCACTGTCGACACATGATTCCCGGACGTGCCTCAGATATCTGAATGAAGTTTTTTATCTCCACGTTTTTTTAATCGGAGCTGCGCCTGCTCGAGGGTTATATCACTCCGGCCACCCTGAAGAGGCTATGCAGGGTTCAGTGTGGAAAGAGATGGAAACGAGGGACGGACAGATGGATATTTGGCCCTGATGAGAGCTTATGGAGTTTCCACTTAAGGAAAATAATAATGGCAGCTCACCAGCTAAAGAGCCAAACTCTCTAGAGTGAATACAAAATTTCTAGACAAGTCAAGCATCCGATAGCACACTTGGTGGTAACATATGGATGTAAACAGTATAGCATACCCGTTTTAACTTTCAAATATGCCGTCTGAAAGCAGATCCTGAGTGACAAATGGATATAAGGGAGTCTTCACTGCTATACATATGTTTCTCTGTGCAATCAGAGAACCCTGAGCTCAGTTT